TATGAAATTCTTAGATGTTATGCTTTAAACAACAATAAGGTCTTGTTTGTTTTTTTGAAATCACCTCTTAATCACCTCTTAAGTCTGAATCGTTTAGACATTTCCATTTTCTGACCGTTTTTTTTTCCTTTCAAAATAAGAGTTTAAATGATGTTTTCTTGCTCTGGATTTTTAAGTGATAAACCTGTAAATTAATACCTCTTAAAGCAACTCTTTCTCGCTGGTGGTCCATCTTGCAATGATCCATGTTTCCCCTCACAACCAACACAATACATAATCAAAATCTGAAGGCGGCGAAGAAGATCACCATCTCCTGCTGATATCCCAATCTTCTCTTCTACGAATCTCATGATAAAATTGTAATCGACGGATTAGATTCAGATTCCATGATACAACTGATTTCAACTCCACCCACCATAAGAAAAACTCTGAATTTTTTTGTTATTTGACTAAAACCTTAAAAGAAAGAAATACAAATCCATTATCTATACTATATTATAAAACATTTGACAAAAATTCTTAAAAATTATTTTTTATGCATTAAGTACTGTTTATTAATGCATATTACTTAAAAAATCAAGATTACAAGTAATTTGTGTGCATGCACAACTTATTAAAGTTTCATGTTTAAATTTGTGCAACTAACTACAAATAGACATAAGCAAATACAAGATAAATATCTTATTTTAAATATAAAAAATTTAAAATATATTTAGGATAATCATTGAATTCTAACAAAATACTAATTATTATCTTTATGAAATAATTATGTTATTAAACCAAAAATAAATGACTTTATTATTAAATCTAAATTAAATTATAATAACACTTTTTATTAAAGAACTTATACAACAAAATGAAGTTTTAAATATTTAATTTGATACTAAAACCGATACATTTTTTTTTAAATTTTATGATACCTTTAAATTTATATTTTATTCAGAAAATAAAAACATTATCGTTTTTCCAATACCACATAAAATCATATTAGAACATTGACGATGTAATATTCAGCTGTAAATTGTAGTTGGTTAGGTTTTGAAAATATATTGCAACAAAAAGTTCAGGGGTAAAATCTGATGTATGTTGGAAACTGAGGAATCATTAGTAAAATTAATTTTTCTCCTCCGTAAATGAGTTTTGGTCCAATAAGATTGTAAATTGTCTCTTGAGTGCATGGCTTCAAATTTATATTTTATTCAGAAAATAAAAACATTATTGTTTTCTAAATACCACATAAAATCATACTAGAACATTGATGGTGTAATATTCGGCTTTAAATTGTAGTTGGTGAAGTTTTGAAAATATATTGCAACTGAAAGTTCAGGGGTAAAATCTGATATATGTTGGGAACTGAGGAATCATTAGTAAAATTAATTTTTTTCCTCCTTATGGTAAATGAGTTTTGGTCCACTAAGAGTGTAAATTGTCTGTTTAGGGGGAGGCTGGTGCATGGCTATGCACCGCGTCACCTCTTATCACTATATATAGTAAGTTAGGAGACTAAGAGTTTTTTTTCGGATTCTTTGAGAGAGCTTTAGCAATTGGTTTATCAAAGGAAAAAAGGTAGAAGCATTCTTTGAGGTCTTAGAAAAATGACAGTTTTTACAAAGTTTTGATCAATTATGTATTATAAGGTTTTACATAAATTGCTTTGATGCATGGAAGTATGTACTGTATTGGATTCAAATTAATGTGTTTAAGTGTTATAGTAAAAATTCTAAGCCTGATATAGCTTGTTATCGCCTAACATTTTGTCCGATAAAGCTAGGTCATCGCCCAAAGCCTTGTCCGGTGAGGGCGTTTATCGCCCAAAGTGTTGACTGGTGAGAGTGTTCATCGCTCATGTGTTGTCCGATGAAGGCATTCAAAACCAATAAAGAAAACTACAAATTTGACAGATCATAAGCCATGAAAAGACCAAAAAAGATGAGTTTTAGAATGAAATTTCAACTGCTTACCCTCTTTCTTTCTAGAAACTCAGATTAAAGTTGAATTAATACATGTATATATATATTTCAAAAAAACACAAAAACATATTAATTCAGAACATATTATACAGTGCAATTTGGACAGCCTAACCCCAAAATATATAATATATATACTAGTTGTGTATCCGCACAATGCGGCGGGAGCCATGAATTTTAACGATTTTGAAGTTCCACTGGTTTTATAATATAAGATTTAACGATGATATAGGTTACACTTGGTCTTTAGATATTAATACAATTTGAATAAATAAGAGTCATGGTTCCAATTACAGACTATCGATGAAAAAAATTGTATGACAATTTAAAATCCAACATATTTRAACGACTTCACAAATGTGTTCGATTTAAACCAAGAGCAAAAAATCAAGAAACTTAAGTTTTAAGATAAACACTCAAAACCAATAAAGAAAACTACAAATTTGAC